GGGGGGGGGGGCAGGAGCTGGAGCAAGCGCCTTCCGGTACCCAAGGGGTCCTGCTTTGCCACAATCATCCAGAGAAATGGGACGGCAAACGATCAGATACTGACGACCCCTCTCACTCATGGCGGCTGTGTTGTGTGGTACCACCGGCAGTCGAGAAAATGTCTGGTTTACCTTTCCAAAATAATGAAGCAAAACTGTGCAGTATAATCTAGGATATGCGTTGGTAGCTGCATGTAGTCAGTACTGTGCTCTATAAACCGACGTGATTAACACCCGAACACTTAAAAGTGCGCTCTATGGCATTTTAAAATGCCAGATGTAAAAGTGTGCATGCCATAGTCATGTCACGCATTCTTCTGTGTCGGACAAGTGTACGCTTCTCTACTGAAATTCACACAGTTTTCTAATTCCATTTTGACTGTCTCACACCATTCTATGCATGATGCAATGGCCACACTGGTAAAACAAGTGTTAAATTTTGCACGTCAATTGACGTTTAAGTTCAAGTGTGCATTTTCTCGACACTTTGTGGTGTCTAACTATGTTATACGTCAATTGATTTTTAAACTTTCGACACTTCCGAAACGTATAGCATCTGCTTGCCGTATGGTTCCCTATTGACAGCATAGAACTGTGTGTGTGTCCAGTGTGCAGAATTTAAACGTTTACAGAACGTCTAAAATTTGCACACCACGCAAGTGTGCAACTTGAGTTAAACACCATGTGATGTGCTAAATCACAACTTGCACACCTTTGGTGTGGAAATACTGCACACTTGTTTTACCAGTGCACACACATTTTTGTGCACTTTTAAGTGTGCGTACGTCACTCACTATTGGGGCGGGGCGCCAGGCTGTTGTTTGACGCCGGGCGCTGGCGCTGGCGCTGCAGATGGCACTGACACGCGGCCGGGTGCGCCGGGTGCGCCGGCCCCAGGGCCAGGGGTGGGCTCCAGTCGCGCGTTCATAAGTCGCAATTCCAGAGAGATTTCCGTCCCGCTCCCGTGGTGCTGTGCGGTGCGGTGCCGTGCGGTCCGGCGAGGCGCTCGAGAGACGCGGCCAGGCCCGGCGGCGGGCTGAACCGGAAGCGGTACACACGAGGGAGAGGAAGAGAAAGAGGAGAAGGGTCAGGATGAGTGAAGCGGCGGAAACTCTTTTCATCCGCGGGGCGAAGGCGGGGTCGAACAGCTCGATCGCTCTCGAGGACCCGACCAGCAGAGATGAGCGTTCAGGCGCTCGGAGACCGACCGCCGAGACCGCGCGCGGTCTATGCACAGACCGGCTGCAGGTGAGAGGTGAGGTGGAGCTCCTCACCTCTTGCCTGTTGGTGGTCTGTGCACAGACCGCGCGCGGTCTCGGCGGTCGGTCTCCGAGCGCCTAAACGCTCATCTCTGCCGACCAGGCGGTGGCGACACTGAGGGCTGGGAGGCGGCCCACGGCGCCTGGTGGGTAGGCCGCCGCGGCACAGGCGTGCACGCTGGCTGCATACCTCGCAGGCGCTCGGAGCACCCCCAGCACCAGCCCCAGCCAGTTCGGCCGGCCGGAGCCGGAGGCGAGAACTGCCAGAGGCGCTACGGAAATCGGAACGCTAAAAAGGTGATAAATGGCGTGTGTCGTCGTCCTGCCGAGGTGTTATGATCTGCTTCCGCAGAGGAGTGTTGATTGAAAGGCCTCGGATCGGCTCTAATCCCGCACGCGACGCGAACCGCCTCCTCCTCGCCGACAGCCCGCCGCTGCCCGCCCCGCCCCGGCAAATGCGTTATTGACGCAAATTAAAATGTTCTCTCCGACAGCTTGGTGGGAGGCCGCACAGAGGGAGGGCGGTGAGGGG